CTGTAAGATGATTTATAAAACAATAAATAACATCAAACAGCCATCTTCCAACCTGTTCTGCCGCTAGAAATAAGTTACTTTTCCCTCTCTCCTTCCCTCCTGCTTCGCAGCAGGAGCTTTCATGTCCGCAGCTGATGTGGGGTGAAAATCCTCCACCTCAGACGTTCAGAGATGTAACTATCTGCGATACTGTGGTCAATCTCCATGTAGCATCAATTATGCTAATGCTAGCTGCCTGTCACTTTCTCTCGTCCTGGCCACACCTCCGCTCTGTAACCCCCCCCTTCCCCTACCCACCCCACCCTACCCTACCCACTTTGATGCATTTTTCAAATTTCGCCTTGGGGCGGAGTTATCTTTCCACGGGGGGGAATACACTTTAAAGCATAAAAATCTAATCACATTATGAGCCACCACTCATTTCTGACAGACTTCAGGATTTCTCAACCTTTGCAGTGCGCCCTCTGGTGGTGAAACATTATTTAGGGAGACACGTGTGTGGGCGTGTTTTGCTGCAGAGCTGTGGAGGACGTGCAGCAGCAGTGTGTGTCACTGAATAAACAATCCGCTCCCAGACCAGAGCAGAAAGAAATTAGAAAGATGGATTTATCAGAACGTGCAGCTAAACTCCAAGTCTTTGTTACATCGCTGCGGTTAAAAATAAAAAGAAAAAAGTTTTTCCTCTTATGACTCCGGTAAGTAAATAACTGTTTATATGTTTCACATATGCAACACACATCAAGAGGGAGGTGGAATATTTTAGTTACCCCCCACACACACTTTAAGAATGGGATTATATTTATAAATATGGTAGCTTCAGTTAGTACTAAAGTACATATAGGATTAATATTCATTTTAAAGGTCTTTTATACAAACAAATAGGAAAAAACATTAACGAACTTAATAGAATATTAGAAACAGACATTTTTTTTTTGGTTTGGTTACTGTCTATAATCAATGAATATTTGAAACAGCAGTTTGTGTCAGTGAGCTATTCTTAAGGTATCTAACCCAACGTATTTGACTTCTTCTATACTCTGATTTTAGTTTGATAGAGTTTCCTTTACTGCTCACCGAGCCAGAACTCTCCACTCAGATTTCCAAATCCTTTAACATAATCGGCRTAGCCTCGGTAGAAATCCACCGAGCCGTCCTTCCTCCTCTGGAAGACCTGTGGGACACAAACACACTCAAAAACTTAAACACCTCAGGAGCATTTTAGTTTCTGAGCTGTAGGAAAAGGCAGCTGTAAAACTGGACCGAAAAACTGGAAATAGACTTTATTGTGGCACAGTTGCAAACCATGATGCAGCAATGGGGGAAAAAAAGTGTGACAGAAAGAAACTCTAATGCAGCCAACTTAAGTTCTCACTAGAACCTGAATAAAACGAATCATATTTTGTTTTTAGAAATTCAAATGCATTCATTATTGTCGCCTGAGCCTCCAGACACACAACATGTTACTCAGAAGTACCGTCCAGCCGCCGCCATCCGTCTCCATGTCGCAGTAAACCATCATCGACTTCCCCAGCTTCCCTTGAGGGAAGACCTCCACCTCTTCTGAAGTCCGGATGCCGTTCAGCAGCTCCTGAGAGCAGTCAGTGGGGAAGGGGAACCGCAGATTTCCTGAGGAGGAAGAAAAACGACTGAAGATAATGTAATTAACTTTTAATTATCTAATAAACATGCTTAAAAATAAAAGTACCAGTGGTGAATGTGGTGAAAGTGTTGCCTGTCGGATGCACTCCTCTCAGTGTTCGGAGCTTCACGTTATACAGGGAGCCAGGATGGAGTCTGGTCAGCTTGTACTGGGTTTCACTGGGCCCAACAAGGATTTCCTGTCACACAACATTTAGTATCAACAGGCAAATAGAAGTAAAGTGAACCAGCAGCTGGATAATATTTTTTCTCACCTTTGATTTTTCACCTTCGGCCTGATAGATCAACAAGTATCCATCCCCAGTTTTTAACGGTGGCCTCCATGATACAAGAGCAGTGCGAGGGGTCACATTTTTGGCTTGGAGGTTGCTCGCTTCATCAGAATCCCCCACAAATCCTGTAGTGAAATGTAAAAATTCATAGGTGTGACAAATCACTATTAAATTATTTCATGAGAGACTTCAACATGATGTTTGCTGACTGCCGGCAGTGATGAAGCTGGTGGAGGCAGGTGAGCTCTCCTGGCTGCCCAGCTGGCTTGTGATGGTGACGTTGTAGGTGGTGGATGCCTCCAGACCGGTTAGCTGCTGCTCAGCTGCGTTCCCAGAAACGGTGATCCTCAGCTCTGAGCCTGCAGAGACAAAGAACATCAACGCTCTGCAGGACGGCGGTTTAAAAACAACTGGACATCGTTAGTGCGTACCTGTCCCTGAGCCATAGATGATGGCGTACTTATCAACAGCAGCCAGCGCAGGGCGCCATAATAACAACGCTGTGGTGTCAGTGACATTCGTGGCTTGCAAGTCTGTGGGAGGGTCAGGGACTGAGAGGGACAGAAATGTGTTTAGAATTTAAAAAAAATCATTTAATTTGAAATAAACTTTGTGTAAAACATTCATTTTATTCCCGTTGTTCAACACCTGATGAGTTAAACTCACGAGTCATGACAAAGTCTGTGATTGGATCACTCTCGTCCAGTCCGAGGGTGGAGAGGACTGTGACCTCATAAGATGATCCAGGGGAAAGCTGAGACAAGTTCAGGGTGGAGTCCTCAGAATCCACTGACACCGATACCGGCTCATCTGCATTAGGGCCCAAAAGTCATATTATTTACAACTATGAATGTAATCGCTTGATTTTAGCTTTGATTTTCATTATTGGCACACTTTATTGCAAGCTCACAAAGATTCTTCATTATGACAAAATAAATTTAAAAACCTTACCGTTATCTGAATGGGTGTATGTGACTTTAAAACCACTAACGGGGCTCTTTGGTTTGGTCCACGACACTGTCAGAGAGTTTTCTGTCACCCTACTGAAGACAATGTTAGATGGGGGTTCTGGGCCTGGAGGGTAAAATTTCAAATGAAGAGGTAAATTAAAACAACAAAAAAGAAGTAATGCTGTAAAAACATACAAAATGAAAAGATCAACTGAGTATATAATTAAAAAATGCTACTAAATATAAAAAACAAAGAAAAATTTATGTAAATAAGACCAAAAATGGTCACTGAAAAAAATAAAACGTTCATTGTTATTTATTCATTCACACATTAATTGTAGTGCCCCAAAGAGTTTGTGTATATATGTACAGTGCAAACATATATACAGTATACAAAATATATACACACAGAAAGTAACAGTTAAATGCACATGATGAATCCTGGACACCGGCAAATGAGAGATTGACAACATTTTAACACAGTAGTTAGCAGCCCAAGTCAAACCTGAAAATAAAAGCATGTCTGGAATAAATGATAATGACTTAAGAGACATTTTTTAAGATTAGAAATGGTGAATAAACATAAAAACAGTCAGATATTAGATTACCACAATTATAAGAACTGGAAGAATGAGTTTTGGTTCAAATAAATCAAAACAGAACTATGTAGTATAAAATAATTTAGATATCTATGCAATGTGACTTTATTTAGTGGAGTTCCTCATGGCTGAATGCTTGGTCTTTTTCTGTTTGCAATTAAAATGCTTTCATTTTGAAATAAATTGTTAAAAATATGTGGCTAATTAACAAATGGCATTAAAAGAATCCACTTTTTCAATATTCTGTATGATCAGTATGGTGAAGATTTTTATCATTGCTCATCTTTACCATGTCAAAAAAGGAAAAATAATAAACGGCCAAATGAACATCTTCCACATGTGCAAACACATATTTGAGTTTTTACATCAAATACTTGAGTGATTTTATAATTGGGAGGCTTTTTTTTGTTATTATGAAGTAAATCATGAATATGAGTATTTCACATATTCATGGAAGCAAAAGAATGAATGCACAAATACAACACAAAACGGAACTTTCTCAAAGGGAAAATAGGTAACAGTTAACATATGTCCAAGCAACAAAGACAATAATTGACAAATTTAAAAGTGTAAATTTCAGGTTTACAGCTTTCAAGAGTACAACATTTGAGCGAGACGTGTTTGATGGGAAAAAGACAAAGTGTGTTCAGTGGTACTCAAGACAAGTGATTAGTTCACAACTGAACATGTGACTTTATCAGCTTTTTGGAAAGTGAGCAAAACTCTGAACAGACTGAAACTGATGGAGAAAAGAAACAAGTCTTCAGAGCAAGACTTGACAATACTGACATTGACGTTTGACAGCACGTGTTGTACTACAGTCACCATGGCGTGTACCTGTACTGATGACAAGCTTGTGCAGTCTGGATAGAAGGCTAGGACCCCTTCCAAGTAAAGTCAATGTATACTCCGTCTGTGGAGGCAGATGTTCAAACTGGAGGGAGCGAGCTGAACCAGGAAGCACTTTTTGGAAGGTTTTACCACTGCCCGTTGATTTGGCAACTGTGCCATCTTGTGTACTTGGGACTTGAGGAACCAAACCTTCTGATACTCTGTTGACTTCATTGCCTCCTTTATCTGATATGGACTGTTTGATATTTTCATATTCATCTTCTTTTTGTGTACCTTCCTTCTGTTGTGGCTCTCCCTCTTGTCTAACTTCTGTTCTGCTTAAAAGAAAGTTATCATATTTTCCTTCTGGTGATTCCCAAATCAGTGTGTAACCATGAGACGTTTGGTTAGTCACTCCGACAAAGTCCAGAGGTTCCCTCATGGCTCCAGAGGAAGAAACATCAGATTCAGTGCCCTTTATCTCTTCAGTTTCAGTATCAAATATGCTTTTCCCATTATGATTTGTTTTTAGGTGCTCTTTATTTTGACTCTCGCTGATACTGTGATTGCTGGGACGCTTTGCCATTAAAGACCCTGGTGGAGGTTGTCTTCGTGGAACTTTGACTGGTCTTGATGGTCTGAAGTTGTTTTTAATGGATGGGCTATCACGATTTGCAGCACTGATATTTCTGCCAGGATATAATCTTTCTTCATGGCTTGTAAAACCTGTGGTTGCTTTCACTTCAATCAAAGCATTATCACCCTTTTCTAACTCTTTCTTTTCTTTGCTAGCAGTAGTTTTGTGGACATTTGTAAGGGCCATTTGACCTAACTGGTTGTTTTCTTGTTCTCTGGACGTATTAGTCGGGGAACTGTGGGAAGACCTGCCAACGTTCTGGTATGGAGATTGAGTTTCAAGATTTTCAGGAGTATTGTCTTTTCTCAGTGGGGTTGTTTGACCTCCAGCAGTAAAATTGCCAACATTTTGCTTTTTAATTGGTAAAAACTTGCGCATAGAACCTCTGTATGGATATTGACGTTGTCTCAAGTTTGTAAATGTTTTGTTTTGGAAAGATTCACCATTTAGCTGTGATTGGCGAACAAATGGACGACGAAAGAAAGGCACACCCCTTCTTCTTGTGGTCTGATCTAACTCATTAGATGAGTTTGTTGTGGAGGGTTTTGTTCCCACATTTTTATTTCCCTCACTTGTCAAGATATCAGAAACAGAAGATGATGAAGATGGCAGTTCGGTGGGAAATGCCTTCTCTTTCTTTGTATCCATTTCAGGATTTGAAAATTGGGAGGGCTGAGGAGAATACCGCAGATTAAAACGAGATTGATTTTGACCATTTGGAAAGGGCTGACGTGGAAAACTCCCCTTTAGAGAAGGATGACGAACAGGAATTTTCCCTCTCAGTATCCTTTTTTGACCCTGTTTAACCAAAGAGGATGCAGTTGTAGGTTTTGCATCTTTATCACTGTTCATGTCCTTCCCAGGTAAAATAACTTCTGTCTCTTGTTTTAGAGTATGGCTCAAATCAGAAGAAGGGTGATGAGGAACACTTAGATTTTGATGAGTTCTGTTTCGAAGTAATTCAAAGTTTGGGTATGCGCGACGAATGGATCCACGTTTCAACGGGGTTTTATGGAAAAGGGATGTTTCACTTTTATCYGAGTGTGATAATTTGCTATCCTCAGGCAATGGTGAATTAGTGGAAGAAATAAGTTCATTACTCCCATGTGAATCGAATTCATTTGAGTTGGAGGAGGAGGAGGATGGAGATAACAGTGACTGTGATGATGGTGGTAATGAGGAAGGTGGAGGCAACGATGAGGATGAGATCAAATGTTTTCGTAAAAATGATGGTTCTACAGCCTCATGTGACGATGACTCTGAGGTTGATCCAGTCAATGGCTCCAATCCCCTTAAAATCTGCATCCTCACAGCATCTGCATCAGYTGAGAGGTTCAAAGGTTTGAACATGTGGACAGAAATCTTTGTCATGTTTAAATTTTCATAAGTATCCATTATGAGTTTATGCAAATGATCTGGTGTGTAGTCTAGATCTGTCTCTCCATGATGGGGTGTTCCATTTGGATCTGACCTTAATGTGTTTCCTTGTAACCTTGTCCCATTTCCTCTGTACTTGTTGCCTCTGTCCTTTAGGGGTAATCTGAAATGTGTTACTTTAATTTTATTCAAACATTTTTTCTCTTGGCTTTGAATAGTCCCAGTTGTGTTCAAAGACACTAAATCAGTGTCATTTCCAGGTGGAGCAATGCCAACATCTGGTWGCCTTTTTGAGCCAATAGCAGACGTTGGTTCCTCTGAGCTTCTTTGTCTGTTTGTTTCAGATTCACCCCCAGGCATCACAGTTGGGCTTATGTCATCACCTTTTTCAGAGCTTGATGTCTCTTCCCTCTGGTCTTTCCCAGAGTCCCATGTTGGGAGGCCATCTGGTTGAGTGTTTTTTATTTCAATCACTTCTTTTTTATCTGCCACCGTTGAGGGTTTAAGCACAGAGCCAAGGACTAATCTTCCTCCAGGCGTAGTTCTGGTTGCATTGGAACGAAAAAGGGGAACCTTTGGCTTTGACAATGAAGGCCTTCCCACAACTCTGGGTCTGGTACCATTTCTTGCCACCATTTTGCCAACCAGAGGTTTGGTTTTGGCACTAATGCTGGCTGAGGAATCATCAACATCATGGTTTCTCCCGACCTGCTGGTCGACTACTTGCAATGCAGGTGTTGGATTCAACTCTTGGTCCTTGCTGCCAACATCATGTCCTGTTGCTTGTGTGACCTGTATGGCCACAATCTTTGCGGTTATGCTTGATGAAGTATTGCCTAAAGATGTAAAAGGAGCATTTGGGTTATATTGATGTCATTATGCATTGAGATACTAATTACAAAATATGTCATTTTTAATAAATGAGGAAAACAAGCTAATTGCGTAAATCCTTCCAAAAGGAAAGAATAAAGTTATATTTTCAAAACAATCTTCAGTAATAAAGAAGACAGTGTCCATATAAAACCTGGAAGGAGATAATTGATATATAGTTAATGTTTTGCCTTTAGAGACTCAGTTCTGGTGAGACGGAAATACAACTGAACTCAGCAGCAGATGTCATTTAACAGACTTCACTCTAATGTGTTTTATATGATGTGATGCAGAGAATAATGACGTGTTTGGACATATACAGGTTCACCACAGCTGTCCTCACTTAATTCTAGAAACAAACCTGGAAATTAGCAATAAGTAACAATTTACCATTTGTTTCTTGACCTCATGACCACGACTCTCAAGGTCTTTAAAGTTAAACTACTCACCAGGAACGACCTGGGTCCTCACTGGTTGGCTTTGGACCAGTCCCCTCTCCGCCACCAGTAAGACGTCGTACAAACGTCCTGCCTCCAGCTGTCCAATATGGGCAGAGGTTTGGCCAGCTGGTATGCTCATTTCTCGACTCGTCCCTGCCCCATCACTGGGTAAGACGGTCAGACGGTACCTGTCAACCTCTTCCTGCGATGACTCCCACTGAACAACTGCAGATGTGGAGGTTGTCTTGACGACTTGGAGGTTGGTTGGACCAGAAATGACTGACGATAACAAGGGTGCAAATGAAAAAAAAAAAAGATTTAGAGTAAAATAAAACTTTAAATGCAATTATATGTGGGAACACAGACAGAAAAGGTCCTCGAGTTTTTCAGTTTCTTGGGTCAGTCCATTACTGCTTCTTTTCTAAAAACACCGCTACTCTCCTGCAGCCTAAAATTTCCTCATGACTTTTGGACAGCTTCCCTGAATTTACCGATAGATTACATCGTTCACAGTTAGAGCAGCAAGTAGGAAATATTTAAGCTCTCACAGCGAAATTTGCAACTTGAGCAAATCAAACGTGCCAACAAGTTAGTCAGAAGTCCATTTTCCATCCGTTTTATTCAGTGAGGGCATTTACATTTGTAAATATTACTGTCAGCCGTGTTTTATGTTAGATTTCAGTTTCAGTCACAGTCGACGCAGATGTCTGTTTTCAATGTGTCTATTCATGAAATTCTTTTAATTTTATAAAACTGAAACAGCTTTTCACTCCAATGCTCAAGGCTGTTTATTTTGAATATGTCTAATTATTCAAGTGTTTAATTTAACAGAGGAATTCTGAGTGAATGTGCTCTTTAACAAACCCAAATCTGTTAAAATCTTACGAGTCGTAAATTCAGTTTTGCTCTCAGCGCCCCTCCTGCCTTCGAACTCCCCGACGATCGTGACAATGTACTCCTGACTGGCTGCCAGGCCCGTCTGGGTGAAGGTGGTCAGGCTTCCGTTCACTTGTGAGGTTATCTGTTGATCTTCCTCCTTCTGTGGAGAGAGACGGGGGGGGGGGGGGGGGGATGCCCGCAACTGTAACATGGCTGTAATCAGTTTCATATTTATTTTTACAGTTGCAGCTCTAACAATGAGAACCCATATACATGCAATCAGCTGCTCATATGATTAAACCTAAGATTTTGGTTTGATTAATGAGTATCTGTGCTTTTATAGTTTGAATTGTTTGTTATTTGTGCCAATCTTTCCATCGGCCCTTCATCTGATTGATCAGTGCTGGAACATTCAGCATTACAGTCATGCACAGTGACCAGTGGAGGGCAGTTTTCCAGCAGCAACAAACAGCAAAAAATAATAATTAAATCCATAAACTTGCTTGTTTGCTGACTTGAAGTCTTAGCAACAAATTAAAACAACCAAATTATCACAATGTAATCGGCTTTACTTCTTGACCCGAGGCTGGGAAGATTGTTATGTATAATAGGAAGTTATAAACATCTCCTTACAATAAGTCAAGCTGCACTGATGAGGAAAGATCGGATCTGTTGAGACTGATGACGATGCTCATTTCCATTATTTAAGTTAGAATCTAATAATTCTGTTCTCTAAATTGATTCTTTTTAAAGCAAATTCTATTCCTGAATCCACAGCAAAACACTCCATGAATCAAGTGCATCTTGTTCAGCAGTTGCTAAGCTAGGAGCATGTGGCTAATGAATGGATGCCAGGTTGTGCCATCAATGCATCACAGTTGTTATGTTGGTCACCATGTTGGTTGCCCGGATCTGTGGCCTTGTGTTAAAATGCATTCATTCGTTTCCACAATTCACTCATTTGCATTCATTTCAGGATGACGTAATTTAAATTGAGGCTTCTGATTAATTCATGACACATTTTAAAACAGAACCGGGCTCTGTGGCGTGTCCATGTGGAGGGTAAGTGTTGACCGGGCCRCCGAGGAACTCTGGAAAACATATTTCTGATGTCCTAAAGACAGAATTTCTTTGAGTTTGAGTTATGGGTTTTGATTGTTTCTGCAAACAGTGCAATGCCCATTATTGTAATTTTCATTGTGAAACCACCATTTACCCTGCAGAACTGAACTCATACTTGTCCCCAATTTAACATTTCCACTGACGTAAAGGAGTCACCTTTAATAAAGCAATTATATTCAATTGCACACARTTATCTATAGACAGGACTCATCTTGTACCACAGCACATTTAGATTTATTTTTGCTCTCAGTTCATGATTATTCTGAAGCCACTTCAGGATGATTTGCCAACTGTTACGAAGCTATGGGGTAAAATAAAGGCAACACAATGTGTTTTCTTCAAGTCATTTCAGATCAACTCAAAATCGCACAATTTATTCTTTTTAAATGTTTGGTTTCTGGAAACTTCTGCAATATTTTTATTTATTTTTTTGTCACAAAACAACCAAAAGACAACTGAGCTTACAGTATAATAAATTCACTTAATAAAATCCAGCATCTTGACAGGAAATAAAATCCTCTTGWACAAAATCCAAACATCCTAAATCTACTGCCCCCACAGCTCACGAACTCAGAGGAACATAATGAGAAAACGATGGAGAGAGGAGGCGGAGGTCGCACAAAAAAAAGAGAATTTAAAGGTCGGTAGTTCAGTGTTGTTGCACCTTYGAGTGTTAAATCACTGAGGAAGAAAAAAAAAACCTAAAGTTTCTGTCCAAAAATAGCAAATTTTCAGGAAATAGTTGTATCACTGCATAAAGGTTCTCATTGTAAAGTCATGAAAAAGAGTCAATAAATAATCAACAACTTATAAAGTAAGAAATAAAATCTGAATTATATTTTCCCATGTCAGTAAATAATGTGTCATTACATTGAAAAAAAAGGTCAAAACAATAATAGTATTTTAAGCATTTTTGCAAAACAATAAGCAGAAAAATTAAAGTTATTGAATTCCACAAACTCTTTTGAACAATAATGTTGTTTTACTTGTCAAATACATCAAAAATCCTGCAAAGTAAAATTGTTAAAGTCTAATTATTTTTTCTAAATGAACTATTCAGTAAAGTTTTTATTTGTGTATAATGTTAAATATATTTTTAATATGATGCTGTTTTCTGGCAAACTTTCTGTCTTTATCCTCAGAATATTGTTTGTTTTTGGTTTAATTTTTTTGCTGAGGAAATTATCCAAATCCATTTTGGCGATAATCCGTTTGTTGTTTTATCAGATCATTCATCTTTTCCTGCTGATAATCTGCTCTCACGTCAGCTGCTGCTGTTGACATCTTGATGTTTATCTGTAAACAACGGATAAAGTATGTTGTCTCTTTCCCTTACTGTCTGTCTGTCCTCTTGTGTCACAGCTGTGCCTCAGTGGTGATGTCATCCCTCTGGCAGCCGCCATGTTTTTGACGCTGTTTACTTTTCCCCATAACAACAAGCATCACACATCTGCATCCTTTTTCCCTGGAAGAGTTCACGTTGCTTACAGCTTTTGACTGGGATCTGTATTAAATCTCAGCTCTGATGGGATCGTTTGCTGTCTTGTTTTCTGTCATATTTTAGGTTAAACAAAGAAACAAAGAGAATTCTGTTTTTAAGAGTTTAAAAATATTATAGAAGCAACAAGATATTTTTACAAGATCCATCCGTCCATCATCCATCCATACTTCCGTCCATCCATCCATCCATCCATCCATCCATCCATCCATCCATACTTCCATCCATCCATCCATCCATCCATCCATCCATCTGTTCTTCCATCCAACCATCTGTTCTTCCATCCATCCATCCATCCATCCATCCATCCATCCATCCATCCATCCATCCATCTGTTCTTCCATCCATCCAGCCATCCATCCATCCATCTGTTCTTCCATCCATCCATCCATCCATCCATCCATCCATCTGTTCTTCCATCCATCCATCCATCCATCTTTCTACCCATCCATCCATTCATCCATCCATCCGTCTTTCATCCATCCATCTATCCATCCATCCATCCTTGATCGTTTTGTTTCCCATGTCTGTCCTTATAAAGACTCTTTCATGGTCTTCAGGGTGTCTCTAAATGAAGTCACTGGAGAGATTGATGGCCTGTTTAAAATAATTACAGTCTGAACTGATCRTAGTGACAGTGTATGTGTGAGGGGGACATATAAGAAAACGTTAAACATGTGCAGCGACATGGTAAACTGTCCAGAGTGTGAGCAGTAATCTAAAGCAGCAAGCTTTTTCATCTCAGTGACGGTTTTAACGATTCAACGATTTACAAAGTGAGGTTAGAGAGGCTTTTCTTTGTTCGGCTGCCTTTTTCTGTCTCAGCGTCTCTCCTCCACACGACTCACAAATACCAAGGCACTTAGTAACTTTCCAGTTGTTTAACGTCCTCTGCGTTAAATTGATCGCACATGTTGGTGAGCAGAATGCCCTGATGAACATCTGTATCACCATGTTCGGGATGGTGGAATTGGTGATAAAAGTTCAATGTTTAATTGGTGTATGGAGAAGACTTCAAAGCAGACAACTGCAGTTAAACTGAGCATTTTATACACAGAAATTAGGACAGAAAGACCACCGTGATGTTTGTAATGATAACATCAAATCAGACTCTATAACTTCTGAAGCAGATGGTTCAAGGTTTTCACCCTCTCCAGTAGCAACAATGCATTATAGACCTGATCATGAGCTTTCCCTAACCACCGAGTTAAGTTTTCAACTACAAATCTGGAATTTATTGTGCAAAACCAACCAGATAGTGATGAAATGGTTCTTGCCTCTGAAGTCCTTATTTATTTGTTAATGGTCATCAAACGGATGTTCACTAATGAGAGCATTTTGACCAAACAGAAGGGGCGTGGAAGGCTGCATCACCCCCTAAAGGATGCAGGAGGACATGCATCTTCAAATTCAATTGATTCATCCATCCATCCATTCGTCCAACTGTCCATCCATCTATCCATCTGTGAAATCTTCTCATTGTTATTTAGAATGCATGCATTACAGCATTGTGGACCATTCTGCTCCATCACAGGAAATGACTGTGCTTTTTATACAAGACCAACAACCTTCTGGTTATTTTCATCATTGAAAGATTATCATCTAGTATGAATACAKTTTTTTGTTATAYGGGGAAAATCGCTTCTAATGGTAACTTATTTTCCCCAGAGTTACAATTTTTTTTGCACAGTCCTCTGCAGTAATATAGCCTGGCCCTTGCCTTCCTACGCAGTTCCTCTCAATTCCCTTCACTGCTCAGTCTGGGATTTCTTCCATGGACAAGGATTTCTTCAGGAGCATTTTATTCGGGCCAATCAGAGAACAGAATGTCGATTTTCTGCACACTGTCTGCTTGTAGTTTATTTTACCTGGGCCAGTCAGCTAACAGAAGGCGGAATTTTGAACGTCGATTTTCTGTGCAGTGTCTGCTAGTTAGTTTAGCAACGGCWGTTGAAGAAGTGAATGAAGCCAGTCCGTGTTGATAAGGCTTGTGTTGAGAGTCCAGACCCTCGTACGAAGCAAAGCAAAGGACAAGGGTCTGGTTTTAACCAGGCTAGCAATAATATGTTTACTGAAAATATTTTAAAGGCCTATGCAATAGCTTGCAGGTCACAGATATTTAGAACAAGAAAACCAGACAAAAACTTGGTTGATATTAGCTCCAGCAACAGATGGTTTGATGCTGGTTTGCCAACTCTATCACTGACATCATATCTACACGCTGAGTCTTACAAGGCTCCTGCGAGGGAATGTCTTGAAATCTGGTTTTAAAAATAATCAGTCAGGAAATGCAGCATGTGTTTTACAGAAGAAAAATGAAGTGTTAGTTTCTGGTATGGGCCATCTGATTGTTGAGTTTCTCCTGCAGGAATAAGACAGGTTCTTTTCCTGGCTTAAACAGTACAATGATGGAGCAACAGCAGAGTAAAACAAGACTTCCTCGTGTAGTGGTTCAGCTATTCCTTCACTTTTTATACATAATATTAATAACAATGTCAGATTTTTACTCTATGAGCCTATACTAAGATGTCATTAAGAAATAATTCGAAAAATCTTAAAGAATTTGTATTGCTAATGTGCGACAAGTGAGCAACATTTTACACACTTCATGGTTTATAAACATGTTTCTTATAAGCAAAGCTCAACATCTGTTCTGAAATAAGAAGAATGTTTGTTTGGACCTCCCTGAGTGTGTCTGGACATTTTGCAAGCTTTGGGGCAACAAACAAGAACTTTTTACAGATATAAAAGTAGAAAAAAAACYTGAACCACAGTGTTGTATCAACATACCTGGCTGGTAAAGGTGATGTAGTAGGTTTCATACTGAACAAAAGGTTGGGTCCAAACCAAAGTGACAGATGACTCTGTGAGGTCCTGAGTGC